ACAGGCTTGGTGCTTTTCCTAGGCGGGAAACCCCGGCAAGCTGCCCGAGCTGTTACCTCCCTTTCTAGAGGGGTTTTCAAGCCCTGCTTGTTGCCTTTCATCGTGACCCGCAAACCATGAAGTGCTGTTAGTGCTCCGTCTCGAACTTTTGGGGTCCGAGAGTCTTTCAGATGTCTGCTGAGAGCAGAAGAACGTACCTTCAAAAGCTTGTTTTTTTGATTTAAAAAAAAATGATACTTGCTTGCCTTTGTTGCTTTCATTGTGTGCAGTAGAAAATGCAGTTTTGTTTTCTGCGTTTTAGTGGTAATGCATCATGCTGTTGCCATAAGGTACAAAGTTTTTGCCTTTAGGAGGAGAAAAATGTTGTAAAATCTGATAACTTTTAAGAAATTGTATTCACAGATTCAAGGGGAAAAAAAGCAGATGCAAATTAAGTTGGAATTAAGGCGTTCTGATAGAAAACAGTTTTGTCATGTGGTGCTATCAGTGTTAAGGAGACAGCTGGCCATGCTATGAGTAACTTCTGTTTTCCATGGTATTCAAGCGCTAAAATGTGAAGGACACATGACACATTAGAGGAAGAACCTGCTAACTTCTACTAATGTAGTTACTTGAGGTTTGTTTTGTAGAAATACAGTAGCGCAGTGCTGTATGCTTTTGTAGTCCTATCAGGTATGATGTGCTGCAGTGGCATCTACTTGAGCAGATATTCAAAGTTATGTTAATATCCAGAGCCCTCATCGTGGTTGTAAAACTTGCTTGTGTGAATTGTCTCCTTAATTGCTCATAATTCGGTGAAGAACTCTTGCTGTTTGTTAACACATATCTAGTATTCAACAAGGAGGTTATGAAACAAATATATAAAGCAGGTGAGGTTAAATAAAAAAAAAGGCTGTGTTGCATTTGAGCAAATATCTGGGCGTTTATTAGAAGTAAACAGAAAAGATTCTCAGATGGGGCATTGCAAACTTTTGTTGAGTTCTAAGAGTACATGCCAGAAGTATCATTGAGGAATCTGGTCTATTCTGAAACAGCAGCAAAACGTAAGTTTCCACATCCTTTAACAGGCAGAGCATTTACATAAAGAATTAAAAAGTTCCTGTGATTCCAATGAGTAAGACATTATCATAAAAATGTTTCTTCTGCTGGTTTTCAACTCGTAGAGGTTTTATTATTGACCTACTGATCTTTGCAAGGCATGTACACAAGTTCAGTTTGCAGATGTATTTGCAGGACTTGCACATTGGCTGCAGAGGGCGGTACAGTACTTGCAAATTACTTGTGAATTCCTTTTTATTTGACATCTGCATTTCATATTTGGAGGAAAAACTTGATTTGTTTTGTAATTCACTTCTATAAAAATTGTATGGAATTAAGTTATCTTTATACCTGTGATGTTCTGTGAAGCAGCTGCTCAAGAAAGGGCAGCTGTGCTATCTTTTCAGTCTTGTTCAGCATAGAAAAATCTAGGGACATGTGTATTTTGTAGTAATGTACCTCTCTCCCTTTGCAATTATATAAGTTAGGATGTATGTGAAATGTACAATGGCTCAGGGCAAAGAGTATCTTGGAGCAGAAGGATGTTTCAGCAAGGTGCTGTGATGATCTCTTGTTACAGAAAAGTAGGAAATGGATATATGCAATATTGCTGCAGAATCTTGCTCTGATGAACACTGTCAGTAGCATGTGTGTTTCTTAGCTGAACAGTAACTAAAGTATTAATATTTTCTCTTTCCAAACAAGGTATGTTAATGGTTTGTATTGTCTCTGCTGTGGCCATATAGTAATGGTCTCTAGTACTATGGGTTCAAGTCTGTTTTTCAGTAGCCTCCCCTTTTTTTTTTTTAGACTGAACTCCGTCTGTTGCTGATTTCTAAGTGGAGATCCAAAGATGGTATAAAATGTTGCATGTGGAACTGGACACTTGTTGCATTTCTATACAGTTTCATTGGTGAATTTTGAAAGTGCTTGTGCTGGGAAGGGAATGACAGGCAATCTGAACAAAGCTTCCCATTTCAAGTGGTAATCCTTCTGTGCTCTGATTTCTGTGCAAACAGCTATTGCATTGGAAAGCCCATGTTCAGGTCCCGTGTGTCTTCCTAGAAAATCCCTTCGTCACCAGACCAAGAAGTAGCACCTGTAACTACTGAGGTGAAGCTGCTCTGTATTGTGTAGCAGGTGAGGCAACTGTAACTGAATTTCAGCCTATACACTAGGAATCAGGTGCGACTGCTTTCTGTGTGAAGCTTGTTCTGGCAAGTGGCTGCCAGGTGTGCTGTCAGCTCACTTAAGTGAAAGGCATAATTAGCAGCTTCTTACTGGATTTGGTATGGCATAGGCTTCGAACTGCATACTGTGGTCAATACTAAAGTGCCTGAGCATATGAAGATGATCTTTGGCTTTTCCTTTGTACTATGTTTATAAATTAAATACTTATGCTCTCTCTGACTGCTTCTAGATGACTTCAAGAGGAAAGGTACTTGAAAAGTGCAAGTTCTGTCTTGTTACCTTTGTTAACTCTCATAAAAAGACTATTAACTACATAACTACTATTTAATCTTTTTTTCTGTTCAGAAGCCAGTGACATTTGTTTGTCCTGTAGTTCCAGAAAAGCCACATGCACTTTTTATGCTTAAACATACAGTAAGTGGTTTTACTTGTGTAACAGTTTTCTCTTTTACTCTTTTTTTAACTCAGAGAGGATCAAAATATATTTTTGCATCATTTCCAGAATAGTTTTCCATTTCATTGAAATTCTTCTTATGTCACTTCTAATAGCAATTTCCTGCTAAATATATAAATAAATGCTTGTATATATAAAATCAAATATTATTCTGTGAATCTTAGGTATTTATTGTGCAGAGAGGAATAGATGCTATACAAGATCTCCTTAAAATATGGTAGTGACTTTTTTGTTAGTTATGAGGTTATCATTGAGTCATTACTGGCTGGTAAGCCTCTTTCTTCTTCCATAGGGCTTGATTCTTTTCTTTGGGTTATATACTGAAGTCAAGCTGTATTGGTAAGGTGGTCATTGGTGTGAGATCAGTGCTGGCAGTCTGAGATGCTTTTCTATGAGGCAATATTATTGGAAAGCTGAGAGACTCATCCTTTTGCAGGGGGCTGATAGGAACTGCATACAGTGCTCTGAAGAGAATAATCATTTTTTTTGAGATGTAGTGCTGGCTTTTGCTCTTATTGAAGTCAGTGGGAGTTCTGCTACTGACTTCAGTGAAAGGAAGATTAGGTCCTTTGTCATTTCTGTTATAATTTTTTGACATAGACCAGGTTATAAGCTGGGAGACAAACTGTTTTTAGTCCTGACTTAGTGAAGAGTTGCTGTGGTTAAAGCTGAGTGTGAGTTTGCATCCTGAGGTGTGAGTTCTGTATTTTACACCCTCTGAGTTCAGAAAATCACTAAATTACAGAATAATGTTCAGTAGACATTTAACTGTGCAGTGGCAGCAATGTTGGTGTAGACCAGCAAAATTTCAAGGGTGTAAAAAAATTTTAATCACCTGGTCATCTGAGTGCTAAACCAATATTGTAAACAGTTTTTCTTTAAACTATGTTATTACAGTGATATGGTGAGGACTTCTGTTAGGAGTAGTGCAGGAAATTAGAGTTGATAGTTTTTCAGATACTGGAATGTAATGTCTTTGTGGTTATGATTTCTGTTACTGAAGGTGATGGTATTTCTCTGGTTTTGGGCACTGTGACTGACTAAAAACTGCAGTGGACACCATGATGAGTGCTTTCTGGGTGCTGTATCTCTAACTTATTACAATTTTTATTGATGTTGGTGTACCATTTCTTACCTGTCAGTACCATCAGAATATGGTGGTTTTCGGTTGCTATTTATGAGGAGAAAGCTTAGTTTTCTGGCAAAGGGGGCGTGGCAGTTGTGCATCTCTTAAATATATGCTGGGTTTAACTCATGTCAGCCTAGGTATTTTGTGCTGGTGCTCAGAACTGTCCATTTCCTACAAGTCTATTGGATCACAAGTGCAGGTTTTTGGGGGCTGTGTGGTGTGATGCTTGCTAGGGTGAGATGAAAAGCAGTGGTGATCCCTGTTCAAGTGGGCCTGTTTTGGATCTATGTAGGGCCAGCTCTGCTTGTTATGTGTTTTTGACTGTTATGCAGAGGCATCTGTGTGGAATAGTACATTCTCTTTAAAGGGTTTAACTGCACATAATTGTGCATTTCTCTACTATTCTCATTGACAGAACCTGTTTTAATGCTTCATGTTGAAGATATCCAAATTTGTTGCTCAGTGCTGTATAGATCCTGATGACTGTGGTGTTGCAAAAGTGGAAAAAAGGGCTGTTTAGGATCTTTGATTACTGCAACCGTGTTACCAGGTGGCAGTAGTGTGGTGGAATGAGCTTCAAATGCCCTCCTCTGCTCTGGCTTGTTGCAGGCTTGTGAAATCTTAATATGATTGTTTCTCCCTGCTGTGCATCTAAAGTTCTCCTTTCTTGGGGGATGGGGGATGAAAGGGAGGGGAGGTTTTGTTCAGTGGAGAAATTCTTGAGGGTTTTGTTTCTGCTAATATTTGATTAAGTGACAGTTAAAATGGAGCAATGATTTATTGTTGTTAATAAAAGGGAGGTTCACTTTTCACTTTGCAGATCTGCAACCTTTACTGTATTTAAGTAATGAAACAAACTTTTATATTTATTAGATACTATTCAATTTACAATGATTATGTGTAATGGTTTTATTCTTATGTGAAGCTGAGGAAGTGCAGTCACTTCAAAAAGGATTATAAATTTCAGTCAATTCCTATTTTGCTTTTCCCTAGCTGTGTGTGTTGTAGCACCTCTTACTGTAGAGAGGATGGATTTGATCATTTTTTTCCCATACTGTGGTAAACCCTCTAGTCTGCAGCAGCAGCAAAAAATGGAGTATAATGATTCAGCAGTATTATGCAAGACTATACAAAACACGAAGAAATGGAGAACCAGGCCTGATGTTTTGCCCTTTCAAATGATTACGAGAAGGACTATCTGAGCATATTCTTTGTTATTTATCAAATACTTAGAAAATAAATATTCTAAAATCAAAATCCTTCAGAAGTGTAGATGACTGTTCATTAGGTACTCTAGAAATGGCTAGGAGGTTTTGTGGAACTTGGGGATATGCAGAAGTAGTTTCAGTATTTCACTAGACTTAATCATACATGTAAGTTCACACTTAAATTCTTTACAGGAGGAGCTTGCAGTATTAGACACAATAAATATGCATTTCTGCTCAAAAATCCATCTTTATATTGCAGTCCTGTCAGAAAATCCATGCTACTAAATATCACCTAGACCCCACAACTTTTCAGGCCCTGTTTTTTAAAAAAATATCCAAGCAAGTTGTCCTGTATTATGCTATTTTGACTGTGTGATATGGAATAATTGACTTGTTTGAGGATAGCAGTCTGCTCAGAAACAGTATGTTTAATTTGTATCTACTGAGTTCATAATGCAATTGCATCCTTCATTTGAAATAACACTCAAAGCTTAGTGGGGAAGAAAGCCTATGAAGTTCACTTTGTGATGATTTCCAGTAAAGAGAAATCCATCTCTGTCATTGTTATTTCATGAAATACCATTAGATTAGCCACTTTCTCTGTCCCATTTCCTTTTTCCAGAGATGTAGAACTTCCTGTAAACAACCTTATTCTGGGAACAAACATGCTCACATGAAAACTAATTTTTTCTTCTTTGTTTTCCTCTTTATTTTGGATAGGGCTTCTATTTTCACTTAGGCTCCATCCTTTTTTTTATCTATGAAAAGCATGACAAAAACAAGGCAAAAATTTGCATCAGCAATCAAAAGATTATATTTAGGTGAAGTAAACAAATACCTATGAAGTCTCTGAGAGATGTTTCCCCATATTTTATATTAGTAACTTTTATTTTTGTTGCAACAATTTCCATCCTATTTTACATATAAATAAGTTTTCCATAGAAAATATAGTACGAGTTTAGATAGTAGTATAGACTCTATTAGTCCTCCATTTCTTGCAAAATATTTATATAACCATTGCAAACAATGTCTTGCTCACCTGTGTTTGAAACTTGCTTCCTTCTATATTTTGTTTGTGAAAACTGCTACTTTAGCTGTCAATGTTAATAAGCATTCAAAGTATCCCTATTAAACCATAAATTTACTTGTATTGCTTTATCAAAATACGAAAAAATAGTGTCAATGTAAGAAACTGTAAGAGCATCTTAAAAGGTGCCCTTAAGTATGTAAAACTTAGGCGCTATAACACTTTACTTTTAGCTGTCTGGAGTGAGATTGAGAACTCTTTGATGCTTAGAGTTAATATACATAGGGTAAAATGTTTGGGAGTTAAAAAGACATAATCCATGCATTGAGCAAAGATTGCTTAACTGAATGATGTGGAAATTCTGTCATGATATGCTATAAATCATGCATCTCTGCAGGCTTTTGTCACCCTTCTCAGAACTGAAAGGGGTCATGATTATTTATTTCAGACTCCCAATTTATAGATCTTCTACTGAAGGAGAAAGCAACTTCCCATCTTTTTCTTCACTGTCCAAAGAAATAAGTGGGACTTCTTTTCTAAAGAACAGCCGCTGGGAGCACACACCCTTTATACCAACCTAGGTAGAGCTCAGGAAGGGGAAGAGACCTGAATTCAAATCATATTCAAGAATGGAACTGCGTCTGTCTGAGGGGACTGGGGTACACTACCAAATTCTACTATCCTTTTCCTAGCTTAATATTCAAAGTTGGTTTTTTCATCTTCTATAAAGCAAACCCATAATCTTGGAACACAGTTATGAGTGATTTCTTAAGAGATTCCAGTGTAGTGAGTAAAAAGATGAAACCAGTTAGAGCTAATACTTCATAGCTAACAGTTGTTTTCCAGGATACAGTAGTAACTGTAGGGAGAAAACATGGGGAGCAAAAAGTCAAGGTATTAAAATAATTCACAGTAGAGCTTGAGACTTCTTTCTAAAGAATGTAGGTCCAAACACCATCTGTTAATCAGTGGTTTACTTCCTGAAATGACCATGACTTTATTCGGAAGGCCAAATTCCATTGTGGACTTAATTAGTGAAATTCCCTGTACATCAGTGAGACAGCTATGGCTCAAACTCCTCTGTTAGAAATCTCCATTGTTGGTTTTTCATTAATGATATTCCATGGAAGGACATACTAAGTTTATGCATTAAAAATAAAATTACTTTTTGCACAGATGTAAATAAGTGAAACAATAAGAATAATGCTTCAAACTTTAAAGGACAAAAAAAAGTGCCCAAGCCTCTCACTTACAATGTGGTGTATTTACAGATTGAAAATAAATCACAACAGGAAAAAAATCAGCAGGCTTAATATGCCCTGACAACTCATGGTAATTGGTATTATAGGTTGAGATTTATTAAATACTACGCAGTGTTGTGAGGTACTGCTTTAACTACTGTTTTAAAACAAACACAAAAACCTTGGGTGAATAGGTTTAGTTAGTTTGGTTTTGGTATTCAAAAGAATACAGTGGCTGTGGCATTCTGAGCTAACAGGTTTAATTATGTACCATTTGACTTTGGATTTGCTTCTCTTGAGCCCGAAGACACATCTTAACATTCATTTTTCTATGGAGATGAAGATAGCATCCACTTGGTTTCATTACCAGGTCTGTGAATGCTGTACCTGCTAGAAAGTACCCATTAGAAAGGAGACACTTCCTCAGCCTGAGATCTTGGAATAGCTCTGCCTCAAAACTTCTTTTGATTCATAATCCAGAGTTTGAACTTCATTTAAATGGCATATAGACCTTGTATTGGTCTCTGTATTGTTAATTTGACTATTCTCACCATGTTTTCTTAATCAGCCTTTCACTCTGTATTCAATAATTTTGTGATCAAAAAGTTAATTAAAGCTGATAATAGATCTTCTGGATTATAGTGAGATTGCTCTCAAAAAGATCAGGTCCAGTTTTAAATCGTATAGTTTGCTCTTTGTTTGCTTAATGCTAAACTACAGCAAAAATGTGGGGGGAAAAAGGCTTCTAAATAGAAGTGTTAACTCACTGAGTTTTAAATCTATTTATCTTAAAATTCTTACAAGGTTTAAGTCTATATTATGAAAACACAGAAATCCAAATATAAGAGGAATCAAGAAACAGTAATGGTAAAACTAGCCAGGACCTGAAAAAGTAGTTGAGCTACTTTTGGGAAATAGTGTAGTTTCTGAAATTCTTGATCTCTTCCAGAAGTTGCATTTCTTCCCTAGGCCTTATCTGTTCCTTTTTTAGTTGTTGTGGTAGGTTTTTTGAAAGTAGACATAGGTGTATCTTGCATATGCAGCTGATAGTATGTTCATTTCCTCTAAGCATGTGCTATACATTTATTTACCTACCATCTATCTTCCATTTTGGCTCTTCCTCCTGAATGTGAAACTTGCCCTTCAGTGACTTTGAGTTTTCATAACTTAGGGTCTATGAGCTCTGAATAAATTAACACATTCACCTGGTGTAAGTGGGGAGAAGAATGAAAAAATTAATGAATTTCCTGCTAGGGAGAACTCGGTTACCAAGTTATTGAGTCTTTCCTTTCTCTCCTCCTGTGCAACAAGGTCACAAACTAGCTTTTGCCCTGGTGTGGGACTTTTTAATGTTTTGGTCCAGTGATAACAGAAAAGTCATTCTGCTAGCTTGCCAGTTTTCATTCTAGTTTATTATACACGGAAGTTATTGCCTGAATTATGGGACAAAGAAGAGCACTTTTTAACAAAACAACTTCTAAATGTGTCACTTTGAACATATTGTGTTTAATTGAACCCCATTTGCAACTGTAAAGAATTTTTTCTTTTGGACAAAGAGGTGAGTGGAAGAGAAACAATCATAATACTGACTTTCTAAATTGATACAATTGTAACTATAAGGC